GGTATTAATATGAAACTGTAAATTTATATGAATAAAAAGAATATTATATTATAACGTTATAATGAGATTAAACCGGTTATTTTCACTAAACAGTACACAATCAACTCATACTAATGCAGCTGGATATATAGCAAGAACATTAAAGCACAGCTCACATGACATTAACTCAAATAAAACAGTTACCAAGTAGTGGAGTAGTCTTGCTCCTCTTTACCAGTAAATACAGAAGTGAAACAAAAGTGCATTCAAATCAAAAACAGGCTTTCATCAACAGGCAAAATGTAAACAACTAAACTTTCTTGGTATGCAAAGAACACCTTTAATAAGCGGAAGAAAAAAAAACTGATACCTGTAACTAAATAAGGGGAGGGCAATCTGATTGGTTGGGTTTTCCATTCGGTAAACGTTATTGGTTCCGGCGGATTCAGGGGGGGGAGCAAGACTTTCGGTTGGCTGTAGGTGAGCACACAGGTAGACAGACGATTAGGCGCAAAGCGAATACTCGGAATCTCAACGATACTGGTAAAACCCGAAACCTATGATTGTTTTTTTCGACGCCGTTAAGCAGGGAGGGCGACTTAGACGATTAGAAATGTAATTTTTTTTTAAAGACTTAACTGCACAGCTGGAGACTTTGATTAATGATAGAGGACGCTGGGACATATTTACAGTGTTTTATAATTGAGAGATAACCGCCTCGGTAGTAGTTGAACTACATTTGTGATAGAAAACATCGAATCATGTTAGTGATACCGAGATTTTCTGCTGTTTTCTGGTTCATAACAGGTGAGTGAGTAGGTTCCCGTTAGCTTGCCTCGCCATTTTTTTTTCTTCCCCACCTGAAAAATATCTGCTGTCTGTTCTTGGCTGAGGAAGTCTTTCATTTTCTTTCTTACTTCTTCTTATTTTTTTTAAGTAACATTAATTTAAAAAATAATAATAAGTAAATAAAGTCCAGCTACCGTGGTGTACCTACTTTCCCTCCTCTAGGTATTTTGGCTTCTAACGCCCAAGAATGTGGACGACCACCATTAATGCAGGACAGGATTGTGGGCGGGCTGGATTCGTTAGTAGGCGAGTGGCCGTGGCAGGTGGATGTACAGGTGAAGCCTTGTGAACTTAGATTTTTAGTAGATTTTCATGTATTAAATTGTAAAGTGTAGCTTTGAATTACTCTACTCACTAAATCCTCATTGGTTACAGAAACACCCTGATGGTCATATCTGTGGAGGCTCTCTGATCACGGAAAACTGGGTTCTATCTGCAGCACATTGTTTCCCCAAGTAAGAACACTTTCCTCTTAGAAATGGGCCTGTTTCTGTTTTTTCTTCTTCTTCTTCTTCTTTTTGGAAGTCTTTCTTGTGTCCTCTCATTTGTTGAAAAAGAATGACATTAAAAACAGATTATGTGTGATTTGTTGTTGTTGTTGTTGTTGTTGTTTTTCACCCACATGTAGCATTCTTGCATACAAAAACCATCTTATAGACAAAAATTGTGAAACCTAAACCCAGAACTGCTACTTTTTAAAGTTTCTGTTTTCACCAGTCCTCATTTCAGGGGGAACACCTGCTTGTAAAGTAAATGTTTAGCCTTTAATTCATTGTCTCTTTGTCTTTTTTCCCCCCAGTCCATCTGATGTTAGTTCTTACACTCTCTATGTTGGTCGCTACCAGCAGAATAGCTTCAATCCATATGAGTCCTCACATAAAGTGAAACAGATCGTGGTGCCATATGGTTATACTGACCCTTACAATGGAAAGGATGTGGCGCTGGTGGAACTGGCCAGCCCTGTTACTTGGTCAAATTATGTCAGTGCTGTATGCTTACCCACCTCTGACACCCTGTTCCCAAGTGGCATGATGTGCACTGTCACTGGCTGGGGGAACATCAGGGATAATAGTAAGGCTTTCTAAATTCATGACTTTATTCATTGCATGCATACATATGACTTTTGGACAGCATTTTTATCACCAGATACTTATTATTTTAGAAATGTATAACATTTCATCCCTATGGCCTTAGTGCATCGTGCATACACTTGCTCATTTTTGTGATCGAGGCTTTATATTTATACTGGACACAAACACTCGCCATCCTTTTTGTTCTTCATCCTCTGTCCTCGTATTCCCCTCAGTCCCTCTGCCAGGAGTCGGGACTCTGCAGAAAGTGCAGGTGCCAATCATCTCCCAGAGTTCATGTCAGGAGATGTACCAAACAGACCCGAAGGAGCAGGTGGACATCTTGTATGACATGATCTGTGCTGGATACCAGGAGGGCGGCAAGGACTCCTGCCAGGTACTGTTGGATCAGCTGTTTGTGCTGTGTTTACATTAACAAAACAACAAGTGGCATTAAAAATATTTTGGATTACCCCCTTTTTCTTTTTTTTCCTGTAGTCAGCTAATCTCTGATTTGAGCAATCTTCTGTTTAAGCACTACTGAATTAATCTTTTGGATTAATCCCCCCCCTCTCTCTCTCTCTCTCTTCTCAGGGTGATTCAGGAGGACCTCTTGTTTGTCAGATGGTAAACGGGTCCTGGGTTCAGGCTGGGGTGGTGAGTTTTGGAACTGGCTGTGCTAACGCAAACAGGCCAGGTGTGTATACCAAGCTGACCAGCTACTCAGATTTCATTAGAAGCACAATACCAGAGATTCAACTCTATGGCCATGCTAATCAAAACAAGTGTGCAGGGGCTCTTGTTGTGTTGTTCAGCTGTGTGATCGCTCTAGTGATGGTACTTCATAAATAAGACTCTGAAAGATGTAAAGCAATCGGAATTTGCAAAACTGATTGTAACGAGTATAGGTGGTTCAGATTATTCACAATCACAATATTTTACTTTGTATCTGACATGCAAATGATGACAAACTGATTTCTTCTATATGCTGAGGTTGTATTTTAAATCAAGTGAGTAAACATTATCTTTTGTACTTGAAATAAATTGTGGATTTGATACCTGAAGCCAACTTGGTGCTCTCTTCATCTTTGTGTTTGCATCAGTTTATACAGTCACTGGCTAAGGTTGGGCGACATGTAAAAATTTTCCAACTGACAATCGTCAGTCCAATAACCAACGACTGATGTGGTATATGTCCATACTTTTTGATGGGTGGAGCAATGTAATCATGGACTGATATGTGCATTTAGAACACAGAATTACGGATGAACTACTTGCCAAATTGCACACTGGAGGAGAAGGCACAGATAGAAATGGACTGTTACCTCAGCGAGGACGTTGTAGATGGAGAAAACGATCTACTGACTTGGTAGAAAATGCATGAAAAACATTTCATCCATTGATGTCACACATGGCATGGAAATATCTGTGTATACCAGCCACAAGTACACCTTCAGAACGTGTCTTCAGCACCGCTGGTAATATTGTAAACCATCTGTGCACACTGCTAAAACCTGATAAGGTAAACATGATGGTTTTCCTGTCAAAGAATTTCTAAGTTTTGTTTGAAGGGAATGTTTGAGCTTCTTTTCTTGTTTGTTTCAGTGTTAATATAGCTACTTTTTGGATTATTTATTTGAAATTTGCCAGATCGCACAAAGGACTTAACAACAGAGATTTTCTTTTTATGTTTGCTGGA